ACATACATGTATGCGTGTGTATATGTATATGTATATGTATATGTATATGTATATGTATATGTATATGTATATGTATATGTATATGTATATGTATATGTATATGTATATGTATATGTATATGTATATATATAGAGTACTGTCGCAGTTCATTTATTGCATTGGCGGTTGTACTTGGGAAGAGTATGTTTGCTAAGTTTTTTCCGCATCTCGTCATTTTCAGGCTTATGATGAACATGGTGAGATCAGTCATCATCGATGATATAGTGAGTTTAGTGTTTCTGCTTACAAACGTTGTGACGACCACTTCATCCTGGACATCGTTTTCGTCATCGGGCCGTTTTTAGTATACAGGATGACAATGCAAGGTGCTATTCCGAGCCTTCGCTTTCCGTCACATCAGTGTTTATCAGCCAAATGCCTGTCTTCTTAAAGACTTTCTTCCCGTCTGGTATCGGGAAATGGGCACGGGCCCTGAGGCGGAAACCAACACAAGAGAGAGAGCTAAACTCGACAGAAGAGAGGTGCTGCCAAACTTTTACACAGCTCGTGGGAGACATTAAAGCTTGCGTGAACTTGAACTCTTACACGAGATAGGTGGTGGAGTTGGAGGTCGGATTGCCTGTAAAGGCTGCTGGAAGTTCCTAAAACGCTTGCTGGAGGACTGTGGAAGCTTCGACAAGTAACATCCCCATGACAGGCCCAGCCAAAGCCTTGAATCTCCCCAATGCGACAGTCCAAACGTTGTAGGGTCAACGGGACTTTAAGTTTGCTCGATCCACCTGCTTTCAAGTAGCGGGTTTCCGCAAGCCCTGAGTGGAGAGAAACCACGAGAAGGCCCTTCGGTCGGAAACCCTCCGAAGAGTGCACTGTACATTTGTTGTGGAAGGTCTTCGAAACCGCCGACCGCTCGATCCTCGGTTCCCCAAAATCCCGGAGCTACCCCCAGAACACGTTCCCGTGTGAAACTTAATCTTGCTGTTGAGGGCCAATGAAACTTCTGCTGGATCCGCCTCCTTTCAGCTTGTGAGTTTCCGAAACACGCAGGGCACGGAGAGAAAGAAAGATAAGGACCTTTCGGTCGAAGACATACCTCAGACAAACCCACACCAATGCAAGGCCCCTGCGCCCACCCAAACCTCAAACCCCAAACCCGAAGCCTTCAACCCTAAGCTTAGACACTTGAGGACCGGAAGTCGGTGCTGTCTTCGACATCCTGACACGCTCCTTCAACTTTGGCCGAGTCACAGCAGGTCATGGCATTCTCGCGAAGAAATACAAGGCCCGTGGAGTTTTCCAACGGAAAGTTTTCAAAGGTGTTTTCCGATTTTGTAGTCATGGTAGCAGCAGCAGGAGTAGTAGTA